GAACTGCCCTTCCTCCTGGCTTTGCCCAAGAGTAATGGTGCATTCATTGAAGGGCACTGAGCACAAAGCTGAGAAAGTTGTGAAGTGGAAAAATGGTGCGATTTAAACATTTAACTTCGGACATTTTTGTGATGAATGTATTCTGCCTGGTGTGAGAGATTTCTGCCAGGATCTAAGGTGAGGCTTAGCAGTGTGTGCTCTACCTTGCATATACTTGCTGTTAGACACTGTTCAGCTGCAAATGCATCTTGATGTATTGGCTACTGGTGGCTGCAAAACTCACCTAGCTATATTGTAGGCCTGATTTGCTATGGAGGCTACTGTGTGACAGAAGCCAAACTTTGTTTGCACCTACTGGAGGTAGATGCAGCAGTTTTAAAATATATTTTGTGAGCTTGCAATAGATAGAGGAGGCTTCCTTCTCGGTGGGGAAGCTATGCTGTAATGTGCCTTTCAGTAAAGGGGATCTCCAAGCTGTTAAGACATGTGATAATTCCAGTTCTTGCCGTGAAACTGGTCCCAGTGGTATAAGTGAATCTCAACCTACCAATGTTGCTGTCATGACTGACTGCTAAGGCTGGGCTTTTGTCAGACCTCTTTGCATAAAAAGTTGCTGCATCCAGCAGTTCTCAGGGAAACTGTTCAAGGATGAAAATATAAAACCCATCTCTATGAAGACATGGTGTGATATATAGCTAAAGCAGCATATAGTATGCCGCGTATACGTATGTTTTTAGACCTCTAATACACTTGCTTTTATTAAATCTCTTAAGTTGTGTTTGATACTTCTGATAATACAGAATTTACTCATGTATACTGTGTATGGGGGAAGGGGTAAAAATGGACTTAATTCTTAATGTTTTGCTTTGTTTTTCCTGGTAATAAACACTTCTAAATATATCATCTTTTTGTGGCAAAGAAAAAAGTTGACTTGAAGTTCATTTTAACTTGCAGTAAATAGCTAATATGTCGGCTTCTGCTTTGTGTGACATGACCCCAGTAACAATCTGGTGATACTTATTACTTCCAAAAGAAAGTAATGTAGTGCATTCTCCATTTCTCATTTCTTATGCCCATTAATAGCTTTGATAAAGGAGTATCGTTAAACTGTACATGAATGGCTTTATTTTTTTGAAGTTCATTTTAACTTGCAGTAAATAGCTAATATGTCGGCTTCTGCTTTGTGTGACATGACCCCAGTAACAATCTGGTGATACTTATTACTTCCAAAAGAAAGTAATGTAGTGCATTCTCCATTTCTCATTTCTTATGCCCATTAATAGCTTTGATAAAGGAGTATCGTTAAACTGTACATGAATGGCTTTATTTTTTTGGCACCTCACAGAAACAACTGAAAAAAGGCTGAAGGAGGCAGTGTTGAAGAAACTCATAGTACTTTAATTTTAAAATAAGGTTTTATTTATTATTTTGTATTCCTGTTCTTTAACAGGCTTCCTGTTTGGCATGTCTTTTGTAAAGAGAGTCTTTCGTCTGCAGTGCAGTATGCTCCAGGTGAGGCCTGTGCCCTGGCAAATGACGATGAAAATATCCAAGAAAAGGTATGCTAAATAAATAAATGATGTTAAATAATTTGATATTAAGAAGTGCTTGAACTGACTCATTTAGTGTTCTGTGTTAAACTTTTCATGTACTCAGTGGTTCTGTGAACTGTGGTGCTATTTCTGAGCTCTTGTTTTCTTAAGGGCTTTTGCTATTATGAGACAGTATATCTGGACATTTAAAAATAATCTAGTAATGGTAATGCAGGTGTTTTTTTGAGTGCCACGAGTTACCAGAAATGAATGTTTGGGATTGCATGTGGATCTTCTTAGGCCCTGATAAGGTGATGGCTGCATATGTCATGGCCACAGTATTCCATTTGTATCTGTGCTGTGTTAATCAGCCTAGTGCATCAATGATTGCTATTCTAAGTAAGAGGTTTAAGATGTGTTGCTTAGGTCTGCCTTTATCTGTCATTTCCTTTTGTTTAAAACATGTGCCTGTTGCTCTTGACTAAACCTATGGAGATTCCCTGCTAAAGAAGTAGTTCAGGCTTCCTTAGGTCACTTGTTTCTTGAAGGCTTAGGGGATTTAATCCCAGAATTTAGGATGTGACCTAATATTTGGGGGACAGTGTTGCTTGCCCACTGTCTTGAAGATTTCCTTGTAGAGTCTCCTATTTGCTGCTCCTCCAGTGTGTATGCTAACCCTATCAATTTAATATTGCACGCTGTTATGATCATGTGATCTTGTGTATCTTGTATACAGGGTTTCAGTTTGCCCTTAAAACAAGGAATATTTTAATACTGCATCAGAAAGAATGTTTTAAAAATTGCTTATATTGTAGTTGCTCTACTTAGAGAATTTCATAGGAACAAGTACAAACTATTGTCAATTCTCTGCTCTACTTTTTAAAAACACTTTCCTCAAGTACATACTTGTTTTTAGTCTCTGAATTTGTTGCACTTAAAAATCTTAGTAAATATTTAGTTGTAAAAGTATAGTTTATTTTACATGTTGCAATATGTTTGTGAAGTTATTCTGGTTTTGTGATAAGATGACTGTAACTGAAATGTGCTGAAGTGTTACTTTGTAATTCTTTCAAGTCATTCTGTTTTAAATTGTCTAAAAATGATTTCTTATTTTGGGCAGCATGGGCATAGAGAGCTTGTCCACAGGGGAGCCTGTGGGAGAATGGAGCAGACTGATTAACTTGTTTGAGCACACAAAGACAATGTTAAGACAGTCTTGAATTTGTCTGTCAAGGCTTATCTAAATTGTTTGAATTTGCTGTAGGCTTTGTACAGATGAGAATTTAAACATACATGGACTGTTGCTCTGAAGATTTGTGTAACTTAATTTTCTGTTTAAGTTCTAGTGGTTGTAAAGGTAATATTTAGATTAGTCTCTACCAAAACTAGGTGCTTGTCAGAATAGAAAGCTTATTTTACTGCATTTTTACTATTGCTTTATCTTTTGATAAACTAGGGGGGAGTGGCTGGTTCTACTGGAATGCAGCCTTCAGAACATACAGAGTCAAGTAAACAAAGTTATTCAGCAGAGGAGATACTCGATGTTTCTACAAAACCCGACCAGGTAAGCCTTTATTTCATTATTCTGTCTGTGCATTCTTCAAATGCTTCTGTGATTTTTGGAGTCTTTAATTGTCATTGTCTAAAGCTCTTTGTAACTATCTGTCACATTCCCCTTGCATGTAAGGTTGCTTTGAGACTCATGTCTCCAATGAAGGAGAATACCTGTGAGCTAACAGACCTTGCAATTCCAATGTGCACAAGTAATAGAATAATGTCCTGTTTGACAGTACCTACTACATTTTTCCAAATTAATTTAAAATTGGATACTGTATGTATCTCTCTTTACATGCACATGCCATCCCTATAAACACATACATCCCTACCTTTGCTAACAGACAATGTTGCCACACTGGTCCTCTATCTAAAGAACTTCTGCATAGGTTTTATGCAGATGAACAGAATCAAAAGACCTGGGGTGAAAATACTAAATATAAGTGGTATTTTAACAGAACCTTATTATATATTTCACTTGCTGAACTATTTGGGCTGTTCTCTCTTGACTGCTGCTTTGTAGGGATGCATGGATGAGGAAGTTGTTGTATATGCGTCTTTTTCCTAATATTTTTATGCTATAAACTTGAGTCTACAGAAGTTGCAGCTGTCTTAGTGTAGCACTGAGTACCGGATAGGTTTATGAGGAAAGAAAAACTGTCTGAAGCGTGTGATTTCCTGTAATCTGATTTTTTCAGGTTCATTGATACTGGAAGTATGCTTTACTGAACTGTTTAAACTCTATACTAGTAATTATTCTATGAACACCTGTCCTATCCAAACTTTCAAAAACTTACGTTTGTCTCTAATGTTTTCACAGACTG